TGCGCCCGCTGGACATCCTCTCGGAGGTGGTCCCCACTGGCAGGCTGGCCCGTGGCATGAGGGTGTTTCAGGTGCAGGGAGTGAGCGGCTTCCAGCTCGCTGCCTCGCGGCCCCGTGCCCTGGGTTTCCCCGCCTCCCGGCTCTTCATCCACTGCGACAACTTCCCCGAGGAGTTCTCCATCATTGTCACACTGAGGGTCCTCAACATCCCCGCCAAGGTAAGTGTCACCAGCCAGGCATGGAGCGGGCACAGCCTGGCCCTGCAGCTTGCAGCACACAGATATGAGTCCCTGCCATCCTGCAGAGAAATGAGTACGTCTTCACACTGATGGCGGAGGAGAGCCCCAGCGTGCTGGTGGGGCTGCGCTATGCCCCTGGCAAGCTCCACTTCCTCTTCTGGAGCCAGGAGCGCACCGGCAGCTGGCAGACCCGCGTCACCTTCCCCAACGTCTCCCTCTCTGACAACCAGTGGCACACGCTCGTCCTGGCTGTCTCCGGCCAGTCCTTCTCCCTGACGGTGGACTGCAGCATCCCCAAGGACGTGTAGGTTGGGGATGGCTGTGGGGGGCTTCAGAGGGCTGCATGGAGGCACTGGTTCCCTGGCAGGGAGATGCTCCTCCACCAGCCACCAACAGTTGCCATGAAATTGTCCCCTGCCTCTTCTCTGCCCATCTGCAGGGTGGTGGAGACACCATTTCCAGCCTCTCTGTCAGTGCAGAGAGCCAGCTTCTATCTGGGCAACAGGAGGAGAAGGAAAGGCGTGTTCACGGTAGGTGCTCCATGGTGCAGGGCTGCCTGGGGGAACTCGTGGCTGGCCCTGGAGCAAGCTGCAGCCCCCTCTCAGCCCCCTGTGCTGGCAGGGCTTGGGCCACAGCACGAGCAGCAGAGGTGGCTGCGGGTCCCACTGCTGGGCTTGATCCCTGTCTGGCTGTGGGCATGCAAGGGGCAATGCTGGTGACTGGCACTTTGTGGGACAAATGTGTTTTTAAGAGGACTTTGTCAGCAGTGCAGTGGCAGAAAGACAGTTGATGTCACAGTCTTGTTGATATAAAAGGGCAGTGCCTGATCCTGACTGGTAGTGAAAAGCGGAGGCAGTGAAAGCTGTCTGCAGCTAATGATCCCCTTGCCAATGCTCCCCTTGCATCAGCTGTTAAATTGCCCAGGATGGAGATTTTGGCAGGCTGGGCATGTAATGAGGATCTGATAAATGTGCGTGAATCCCGTGGAGGCTTCCACGGCCTGGGAGGGAGAGCAACGAGCAAGAGTCGGGAGGGAAATCCAGGGCATGAATCACCTACAGTTTCCATTTCTTGGTCTTGCTGGACTTCCTCTCCATTCTGCTGCTCCCGCTTTCCCAGGGTTTGCTGAGACAGCTTGTCCTGCTGCCAGGAGCCGATGCCACCCCTCGGATATGCACTGCCATGAACTTCAAAGTAGCAACACTCTCGGTCCCCACTGTCCTCCAGGATCACCCCATGAAGCCAGCAAGCAACGAGGTGCTAAAATACCCCTACGGTCAGTAACTCCCCATGGCACAGGCTCGGTTGGTTGCCTTCTGTGTTGAGGAAGGCTCTTTGTGTGTGGCTGGGCATGGAGCAGAAGCAGAGGGGAAGAGGGTGTCCCCAGCACCCTCTGTTTCTCAACATGTGTGTGGGGTGGGATCCCTGTCCAAACCCCCCCTGGAGAGCAGGGTGCCCCTGCCCAGGTCCCTTGGCAGCGCTGGGCTCATGCCAGTAGCCCCACAGGTGTGAGCCCCCAATGTTTTCTTAATCGGTGGCTTCCCAGCTTGATGCTGGGATGTCATTTCCCCCATTCCCCAGTGCCCATCATCAGGATGGGACCAGGACATCCCACCCTCCCTGTGTGCACAGGGAGGAGCCTCACTGTTCCTCCATCATGTGCGCTAAGAGTCGCCTGCCTTGCTCTTCTCCGTGCCCAGAGACCGACACAAAGGTGACCCTGGGGTCCCGTCCACCCTGCACCAAGCAAGAGAAGATGCAGTTCTGGTTCAACGCCTCCCGGCGAGGGCTGTACCTCTGCAACGGCAGCACCTGGATTTCCATGCTGGAAGGTACTGGTGTGCAATGAGCTCTTGGGGATGGAGGGAGGCTCTTGCAGCAGAGGGGGAGCAGAGATTTGTCCTTGACATCACTTTGGAGTGGGAACCAAGTCAGGCAACAGCAGAATGAGGGGGCTGCTGTGTCCCCCTGCCTCTCCCCTGCCTGATTGAGCTTCTCTTTGCTCTCAGTGCCCACATCAACACTTCCAGCGCAGCTCTGGATTCAAGCACCTCTGTGAGCCAGCTCCCTGATCACTCACACAATGCCTACGTTGTCCATCTGTGTTATCTGTGTTGTCCATCCCTCCTGGGGTTTCTCTGGTCAGGAATGAGCCCTCAGTTTGTCCAAGTGGGACTGCTCACCCCATGGAGAGCCATGCCCGGCATGCTGGGATGCTCCCTGCCGCAGGGTCCCAATGTTGCAGGTGCTCCTGGTGCTGAAGCACTTGCAGGGTGGACAAGAAGGAGCACAAAGACTCATCAGCTGCCAGAGATACCTGAGGGTGTGATGGGAGGGTCATGGAGGCAAGTCCCCATGTCGTCCCAGCTCTGGTGGCCTTTGTGCAGAAAATAGTGGGGCAATATTGGAGCAACAAGGTGGCAAAGCAACCAGAGCCTGGAGGGATGGATGTTATTCAATAATGAAATGGATTTCGCCCACTGGCACTCTCCCACTCGCTCCAGGCAGTCTGCCCAGGATCACTGGTGAGGACATGGAGGATGGGGCATGCCCACAACCAAGATGTCTTTACCCCCTCTCCTGGGGTTTTTCTTATGCTGGTGCCGATGTGGTGTATTTGGATGAGCCATTTGCTCCCCACAGGGTCTGGCAGTGGCTGGACTCCCCATCCTTCCCTACCTCTGGAAGTCATCAGGATTGGCACCATGTCCTTGTATTCCCAAGGAGACCTTGTGCTGGGATCTTGCTGGCCTGTGGCCTTGATGCCACCAACACTGGTCCTTCTTGTAGCCCTTCTCCTGCCATTTATCCCTTTCAGTGCCCACCCATCTGCCATTGGGACCAGTCTTAGCCTTTCTGTTCTAATTTCTGGCATTAATTCTGTCTAAGTCTTCTCTAACTTCTTCCAGAGCTCATGCTGATTCCAGCCAGAGAAAACAACTGGTGCAGGGTTGCTGCAGGTGGGTACGGGTTAACCCCGCTGGTCTCAGCAGCCCAGGCCATTTTGCTGTCTGTAGGTCTCTTCCTCTCCTCCTCATTGTCTTTAGGATAAATGTATCAACCCACTCTGTAAGAAGCAATCAAAATCCATGGTGTGTCATTTTTTTCCCGCTCCTAGAGGAGACTGCCCAGCAGAGCATTTTGCAGCCCTGCCCTCCACCAGAGAACAGGCAGGGGTGGATGGGGCTGGATGTGCTGCCCAACAAGATGGAGTCAGCCCTTTTACCACCCCCTCGGGTTTTGGCCCTTCATCACCAGCAACACCACAACATTCATTTTCTCCCCATAAATCTCCAAACAGCAGCAAGCGCCACTGAGCCAGCTCTGCTATGCGATGTGGGGCACCTCTCCAGGCAAGGTCATCTGGTTTTAACCTCACCCCTCTTTTTTTGTGGTGTCCTAGTCAAGCAAAGGCTGGACTATGTGGAGGAGTACCAGAACCTGGTGACCAACTCTGAGACAATGGGAGTTGAGGTCTTCACCATCCCAAAGGTGGGACTGTTCGCAGCCACTGCCAACCGGTACACCCTGCCAGGATCGGCCATCTATAAGTGGACTGACGGGAAGTTTGTGCCCTACCAGAACATCCCCACCTTCCAAGCTCAGTCCTGGAAGTATTTCACCATAGGAAAGAAGGTAAGTGTGCCTGGAAGGTTATTTCAGTGCCTTCATATTTCAGTATATTAAACTGCAATTGTCCAACACTGGCTTCTCCTCTGAAGCCCTGAGTCTCAGGCATGGTTTAGGGGGTGAATCTTTTTCTCTTCTGTCTTTGATGGGGTCATGCTGATACACATATTCAGACAGTAAGTGTTTGTCCTAGGGACTGCTGGCTGATTTGTGGGCTGCCCTCTGTGTTTTACTATTTTTGCTGAGGCGCAGGTACATCCACCCAGGCCATTTTCAGCAACTGATGCTCACAGTGTAGGTAATTGCGTGTCTGGAGTGCTCAGATCTCTTCCCCGAGGATCTCCAGGCTGTCTGTGAGGTCAACCTCCAAAGCCAGCTGTTGGACCTGGATCCCTCCTTGTGCTGGGGTTAATTTCTAGCAGGCTCTCCCTTTTCGTGCCTCAGATATAGTGAGTGCCAGTGTCAAAATGTCCTTTGTGCAGACCTGTGGTCCAGCCTGGTCTGGGTGTGCTCATAGTGCAGCCTCCACCCTGATGCAAAGGCTGACCCCCCCTGGGAAGCAGATTTTGCTGCCATTCCCATCTGGCACCGTGAAGTGAGGCAGGGGTCACCCCAGGCAGTGGCTGTGGCATTGCTCTCAGGGACATGCAGCTCCTGACATGGGAGCACAGAGCAAAGCCTTTGCTGAGCTCTGAATGTGGTGGGCATCCTGCCATGCATAAGGTCTGCTCTGGTCTCAGCAATCTACCTGTGGTCTTAGAAAGCCATCAGAGCTCATAGTTCCTGAGACCCACTGAGTCCAACCTTCTGCATTTTTAAGCCTTCTTGCTCTTAAATCATTCTAGGACTTTGGAGCCATCTCTACACCCCTGGGCAATCTGCCATGGGACTTCTTGGTTCCTCTCCCTGGGGAGCTACTTATCACTTTGTGAGGAGCCCCGGGCAAGCCAAACAAACACCTGCTGAGAACCAGTTCTGTGTGTTGCTCCCAGGGGAGTTGGGATCATTTCGCCTTCAGCATGACCTGTTCTGGCTTTGTCACCAGACGCGCACAGGGTGGCTGCAGGGCTCCCCCATCGTGAGCCACGTGCCCAGGGGTACAGAGGGATGGGCGGAAGTCCTGCCTCCAGGCTTGGTGGCACCAACAGCCCTGCTGTTTGGATACAAATGGGCCATGTCCCCCATTACCTGCCTGATGCTGGGGTCCTGCAGAAAACTTGGTCAAGCCCTGAAAATGCAGCTGTGTTACAAAGCTGGCTTTGGGCTGGGAACATGCCTGCCATCCCCAGTGCTGTGCCTGCTCTGCAAAGCTCCAGCTGCACCCTCATGGGCAGGAGACAGGAATATGCTTGGCTGGGTTTATCTGCTGATGGGAACCACTTTGAGACTCCCTGGTGTTAGTCTGGACCCACAACACCCCCTTTCAGCAAAGCTGTGGGGCAGAGAAGACTTCCAGGCTGGGGGGATCCCAACTCCACACAGCAAAGCACCCATTTTGGTGCTCACCAAGGCTCATGTGCTCTGGGTTTGCCTTCAGGTCTTCACCGAGAAAATCTTACTCAGATTTACTAGGCAGGATGGCCTCTCTTGCATAGCTCGGGGCAGGTTTTCTAGTTGGGGCTAGCCTTGGTGCTCCAGAATGGCTGGGGACAGAGGCAAGTGCCATGCATGCAGCTGCCTGTGCTTGGCACATTTCTGCATGGAGATGATGACCAGATAGGTGTTGCACCAGCAGCAGTACAGATCTCTCCAGTTAGCCCAGGTTCCTTGCACACATTGCAGGTGGAATGCACCTCTGTAGGTGTCAGCGCCTCATTCACTGCACCAGGACCTGCTGATGCTCTGCTGGGGTGGGGTGAAGAGCCCCAGAGGGCGGTGCCAGGGTCTCCTGCTGGCTCCTGTCAATGGAGAGCAAGGGACCACAGGGTCCTGAGTTGCGGGGTTGGATCCAGGCCTTTCTCTTCCCTCTGAAGCTGTGTTTCTGGAGATGCCCTGAAGGGACTCACTGGACTGAGGCTCACAGGGGGAGCTGCCCAGCGCTTAGGGATGCACCTTCCCTGGATGGACATGTGGACCCAGCACAGGGTACCGCTGGGTGAAAGGTCTCCATCCTTGGGGGTGGCTGAGCCTCAGCTGGACGAAGCCCCAGGGCTGATGCTGGCAAGGTCCTGTGCTGGGCAGGAGGCAGGAGACCACACCCACTGACTGTTTTCTGCTTGTGGGCTGTGTCCCTGTGCTTCTTTGTGGCCCAAATTGGGGCATTACCTCTGCCACTCCATACAAAACACACTGGAGTGTCAGAGCTGGTGTGCCACACACCACGTGCTGCTGCGAGCTTGGACATGCTTCCCCCCCTGCACGAGGCCATCTCTGCTGCTGCATACTTGTCCCCGATGCTCGCAGGGGGCGTTTCTTGGTCTGGAAAATGTTTTGTCTCCAGGAATCCTTATCATCGTTATTATTGTTATCATATCTGTGATTTTTCTTCTGAACAATGTTTCCTTACAGGGGAGGTTTGGTAGCTTGGATCCCCCTCCCTCCCCGGCCTGTTTTGCCAGCATGGCTGTGCTCCCTATTCCCAGGACTGGCGGGGTGCAAGCAGCCGCAGCATGGCTCTCCCTCTACTCAGCTCCAAGGCTGTGGCTGCAAGTCTCATCCCTGCCCTGGCTCTGCAGGCAGTGAGTGCTGCTGCTGCCACACACAAAGACCCCCACAAGCCACTGGATCCCTGTCCCCCCTTTTGGTGCATTTTGGTTTTGCCCCACAGCGGCCACCTCGGTCCCTGGCCCTGCATCCCATGGACACCTGCCCCACCCATCCCATCTTCACCCTGCTCGTGCTTGTCCATGCCCCTTTGGGAGGAGAAAACCAAGATGTCGTGGCTTGTTATTTTTCAGATCTTCCTAGCAGTCGCTAATTTTGAGCAGAATGACAGGGGTCAGGAGTTCTCTGTAATATACAAGTGGAGCCGCAGGAAAGAGAAATTCGTCATGTACCAGAGGATCACGACGCACAGCGCTAGGGACTGGGAGGCATTTGTCATTGAGGGAGAGGCTTTCCTCGCAGTGGTCAACCACAGAGAAGGTACCTAGCCCTTATATTCCCTACCGGCCCAGCTCAGCTGGGGCAGGCGGCCCTGGGGTGACACCGGGGACCACGGCACCCCACCGCAGGCAACCTGCTCAACAGCATCTTCCTGTTGTCATGGAAACACTACAGCTCCCTGCTCCCTGCACATCCTCTGCTGGAGTGCAGGGCAAAGCCGGGGAGTCAGTGCTCGCAGCTCCAAGCATGGTGTCCCTCAGGAAGCCTGAACCCTTGCAGACCCTCTCATTATAGGAGAGAAAAGCACTTGGGGAAGTGGCTGACACAGTCCCCACTGGGTGTCTGACTGGGGGACAAAGACAGGAGTGGGGACGGTGTCTTTGCTGAATCTCTCTGCTTCTTTTCATTTGTTTCCCCAATGCAATGTATAACATGGTGGGGTGGTGAGGGCAGCTGCATGGGTTTGCAGGGGCTGAGCCTTTTGAGAAGCCAAAGGCTTGGCCTTGTGGGCACACAGGAAACCAAGGCAAGTTGAGTGAGAGCTTGCTGATGTCCCTCCCTCCCTGGGCACCCTGCAGACATGATCCAGCCTTGTTCCCCTCCCAGTCCATGATTGTTCAGGGTTGGAGCATGCACCCCTCAAGCACGGGGGATGAAAGAGTCGATACCACAGCCCTGACTCTCCAGGATGCTCCCAACCAGGTTTGGACACCAGGCCGGTCGGCTCCTTCCCTGCTGTCAGGGCTGGCTCCTGGGGCATCAGCTCCTCTGGCACCAGGCTCAAAGCTGGTGTCAGGTTGCTTGGGCACCAGCTCCCTGTGAGCTGGGCTAGAAACTCCACATTACCTGTTAGACCCCACCACAGCCAGTTTAGATGAGATCTTCTCCCATGGCAGTGGCAACAGAAAGGTCCCTTTGGCAGCTATGCAGGGGTTAAGACCATCATGGCCAAGCCAAACTGGGAATGTTCCCCTTAGTGGGTGGTGGAGCGTCAGTCCCTGAGGACCTGCCACTTACCCATGTGGCCATTTCCCACACACCCTATTCTCCCTGCAGCCCTTTTTGCCCAAGTCTCTTCCATTGCAATGAGGATTGCCCACAAACCCATTAACACGTGGTCCTGCTGCTGCTCAGCCACAAGAAACACCAGCAGGGCCAAGCTGAGTACAGCAGTGCTTAGTGAGTGTGGGGTGGAAAGGGGCTGGTGGTGCTCCCCCACTGTTCAGATGAAGAACGGCTCTGGCTGGGGGGGATGTGCCAGGATGAAGGTGCAGAAAAGTTTTTAGCTTTAAAGCCAGCTGGGTCCCACATGGACATGAGGTTGAGATGCCTGAGTAGAGCCCAGGAGCTGGATGGAACATGTGTTTTGGTGCTGGTGGGCCTAGACCAAGTGCTCAGCACAGGGCAGGCTGTGAGCTGTGGCATCCCCTCCCTCTTTCTGGAGTTTGTGCCATCAGCAGGGATCAGCACATGGAGGTCCCTTGCCAGCTCCAGCGCTCAGGAACTGAGCACAGGGACTTAGCAAAGGAGCACTGAAAAACATCACATGTGGTCCCATTCCAGCTATGGCCCCCTTCCAGGTGTGCGAGCTTGCATGCAAAGGGTGATGGCAGCCCATGATGCCAGTAGCTTAGGGACTCAGCTGGGACTGGCCCCACTACACATGGCTGCCCTGTGGAACAGCCGGCAGAGCTTGGCCACTCTGGGATGCTGTGGCACGGTGCCTCTGGTGCGCTGGTCATGTGGGAAGACAGCACCCTCCCATCCCTCCTCTGCCAGGGGCTGCCATGAAGCTGCCACCACACACTTGGGAACAAACTGTCAGAGCGTTCGATGGGGATGGAGGCTCTAGATAGGGATGGAGGCTCTAGGTAAGGATGGAGGCTCTAGAGTCTCTTTGGCTACTTCTTGGTGAGCGGCCGATCACTAGCAAACAGCCTTGCAACCTGCTGGCAAATATTTGCACAGCTGAACCTGTTTCTGGGTCTTGTTTCTTATGCGAACCAGGTATTCCTTTTCCTCATGGTGCATGTCTGTCTGTCTGTCTGTCTCCCCCAGGGAATAACCACAATATAGACAGCGTGATATACAGGTGGAACCCCAGGACAGGGTTGTTCGAAACCAACCAGACCATCCCTACCTCTGGAGCCTATGACTGGGAATTTTTCACCATCGGGCCATATTCCTTCCTGGCTGTGGCTAATACGTTCAATGGCACATCCACTAAGATCTACTCACACATCTACATCTGGCTCAGTGGCTCTTTCCAGCTCTTCCAGTCTATCCTGGTAAGGCTTGGCCATTGATCAAACTCTACTCCTCGGTCCCCCCTCTGGGTTTAGACAAGCCAGGGAATAATTACAGAAACAGATGCTCTTCAGTCGTCTGGAAAGGTAGTGATAGTTTCCCAGTGATTCTCCCATAGGGAGAGGTTTATTTTTTATCTTGGAGGGTTTTAGGAGTGGGTAACTTCCCCACTGTGCCTCCAGCAGGTCCCCCCCCACCTCGCAGCATCCTTGGCTTGCAAAGGCTTGTCCACATCCAGCTTCTCATGTGGCTTCCTCACAGACTTTTGGTGCTGCTGACTGGGAGGTCTTTCGTATCGGCGACAGAGTCTTCCTGGCTGTTGCAAACAGCCACAGCTATGACAGTGGGATGCCAGCACCCTCTAACTTCTATGCCATCAACTCCTCCATCTATGAGCTGAACATCACTGCCCAGATGTTTGTCAAATTCCAGGACCTTCTCACCTACAGGTACCTGTGCAAAGAGTCAGGGTGCTCCTCAGTCCGTGTCCTTCCCCTGAGCAGCCTGGAGGTCTCCTGGAGGGTTCATGCAGGCTTGCACACTGCCAGGGACCGAGACTGGTGGAGGGCAATGGGTGACAGGTCCTTGGCACCAAATCCCACTGGGAGCTAGAAGGCCCTGGATTTGGGAACAAGGGTGGATTTCCTTTCAGGAACAGACTGGGAAGAGCAGGGTTTTCTGTGTATCATCAGGGTGGCAGAGATTGGTGTGGGGTGGGCTCAGCCCTACAGACATGCAGCCCCTTCCTCAGCGGTCCATGGAGGGGCCACCTCACCTGCCCCTCTGCTTGCTTCATCCCCAGTGCCCTGGACTGGGAGTTCTTCTCGGTGGGAGATGACTCTTTTCTGGTGGTAGCAAACTCCTTCGATGGCTTCACCTTCTCCGTTAACAGTATTATCTACAGGTACTGCTGTGGGAGGAGGGCAGGCTTGGGTGGTTGGGTGGTTATTCCCAGCAGGAGCAATGCTGCCAGGAGCCCAGCATGGGTGTAACCTCTGTGGATGCTGGTGCATCTGCCCAGGGAGGACAGATAGGAGTGCTCCCTGTTTCTGGAGAGGTTTCTGGGCAAGAATGAGAAGCCCCAGTGAGGGACATCCCACCCTGAACCACAGTGGGGAGGTGGGAGATGCCAGCCCCATGGCTTGGCTTTCCTGCCCCCTTTCAGGTGCCCAGCTTGTGCCCCAAGAGCTAACTGCCCTCCCTGTGCAGGTGGCAAGGCTATGAAGGCTTCGTAGCAGCTCACCACCTCCCCACTGTTGGCTGTAGAGACTGGGAGGCATTTCACACCGCCGAGGGCTCCTACCTCCTCTACTCTAGTGCCAAGGAGCCACTTTCCAAGGTGCTCAAGCTGAAAACCATCTGAGGTGGCTGAGACACGCTCAGCTTGTCGCCAGGATCAGGGCGAGCTGGGCATCAAGGTGAAGATGGACCACAGAGCCCAGGAACGACTGCAGCATCAGCCCTGCAGCTGGCTGGGGAGGAGGATGGGAGCTCCAAGTATTCCTGCAGCCTTGTCTGGGGGCTGGCAAAGGGGTTGCGACCCTGCTTCGGTGCTGTTTCTCCTGGGCAAACTCTCCTGCCATGCTCCAGAGCCACATCCTACCTAAGGTGCCTGGTGCCCAGGTGCTTCCCCGGGGTCACCAAGACCCTGGCGTTTGGCAGTCTCCGGCCAGGAGGGACCCCAATAGCAGTTGGTTGTGGCTAGAGCTTGCAGAAAGCCATGGAAGAAAGAGACTGAGCAGAGTGTGTGCTGCCAGGGTGGGTGCATGGCAGGGGCGAGGAAATGGCATGTGAGAAATTGGGGAAAAAGGTGGCTTCAGGCTTGGCTCTGGCTGCCCAGGGCCTGGAGCTGCGATGTTGAGCATCTTGTTCAACATTGCATGCCACACTTCGTGCCCATTTTCAGTGGCCTCGCCACCCCATCCCACTGCTGTGGGTGCCTGCCCACCCTCCTGCTCTGCCGTGGCTGGTTTTGGTCATCCTTGCTGAGTGATGTGTGTATATTGTACAAATCCATAGATGTGTACAAGGACCAATGCTCGTCCTTGCACCCCTTTGCATGAGGTTAGTGACTCCCAAGCAAACCTCCTATGCATTGGGACCAGTCCAGCTACCATGGGCATGGGAAAGACACAAAACTGCTCCAGGTGAAACTGTGGCCTCTTTTCTTTTCCTCACCTTTGTCTGGGGGACTCTTTTGCTTAATCAGAGCTCTAATAAACTGTGTGCACCCAGCCTTCATCCCACACGCAAGTTGCGGGTACCCAAGCTGCTCTGCCCATGGCAGAGGCTTCCCTCCACTCAACAAGCCACCCCCGAGGAAGATGGGGCCATGTCCATGGCCATAGGTGGCCCACACCTATGCTGAGTACAGCAGGGTGCTAGGGCAAGGGTGCCTCTCTGCCTCCCCCTGCCTGGGACCCTCTGCCTCTCCTGACTGGCCCAGAGCATCGCTCAGCCTTCTCTGGCTCCCAGTTTCCCGCTGGGGCTGGGCCACCCACCCTGGTGCTGGGGAGCCTGGAGGAGGTGCCAGACACCCGAGAAGGGCCTGGGGGGGCATGGCCTGAGCGGCCCTGGGGTCCAGGCCCCAGGCAGCTGCTACAGACCTCCTTCATCCCCCGGCCCAGCTGTGACTGCAGCTGGCTCTGCCGGGAAGGACCATTTCTTGCTTGTGATGTAAGGCAGAACTCAATTTGCTTCCATCATGCTGAGCCATGAGCAGCATCTCTAATTTGGCCCTGAGGAAAGGCAAGATAAGGCAAGACATACCGATGAGATGCAGAGGCACCATTTGGCCAGGTGGCCCGTGCTTGAAGCAGTCTAGGGTGAGGGTGGAGGGGATACAGCCTAATGGGAGTCATGCTGGTACATTGAATTTAGGCTTGTCTGCTTTAGGAGAGATGGAATTAGGACAAGCACAACCCCCTTGAGCACCACTGCCCTCCCTGGATGCCCAGCTCCCAGTGCAGCACAAATCCTGAGTGCTTTTCCTATGCATGGGGCTTTATTGAGAAGTCAAAGGTTTGGGAGATCACCCATGGGTTGCTGGTGGTAGGCAGAGGCTGCTGAGATGCCATGTGGGGACTGGGCCGATGTCCTCTCTGCAGGGCTTGTCCCTCACTGGAGCCAGGATGAGGTGACCCTGCTGCACAGAGCGACCCATCCCTCTGCACCCCAGGCTCCAGGGACCTCCTGGCCCCACAAGAGCCCCCACCCTCATCTGTTTCCCCCACAGGGGCTTGTTCTCTCCAAACCATGTGGACTGTGAGCTGGGGCTGCTTTCCCTGTGACCCCAGCTCTGGCAGGGGAGAAGGGGTCTGCATGGCAGGGGGGTCCTCCTCAGGAACCTGGCCTCCATAGACAGGTCTGCGTGGGGTGTCCCCGGTATCCCTCCCCCATGTTGTTTGCTCATAGTCAGTCCAACATCACTGGGGAGAGAGAAGTCAGTGGCACTCATTTGCAGGACTGGAGCAAGCACTGGAAAATCCCATAGAGAAGCTTTGAAGCCCACCAGGTTGCCACTGGCTCCCTGCAAAGAAGCTGGGAACAGGGCACCCCAATCCTGTGCTACAGGGCAGTGCTGGTGGTCTCTGCATGGCCCTGGGTGCTCGGCAGTGACTTCAGGTACTCCACATGCTTGCAGGTGTCCTCTTGATTGTGCCGGACATAGCAGATCACGTAGACAATGACCATGGCAAACCAGCCGAACATGGTGATGAACATGGCCACATCCATGGTCCTCTGACGCACGCTGCAGAAGTTGACACCAGCATCCAGGACCTGGAGCAGTGGCTTGCCCACATACTCCTCGCGTGGGGCTGTGTGGCAGGTGATGTCCTGGACGGAGTCAGGGTCCAGCCGCGCCTCCCATAACACCTCCTGCAAGGCACACTCACAGTGCCAGGGATTGTTGGCCAGCCGGAGCTTGGCATTGAGTGCCAGCAAGGCCTCCTTGGGGATGCTGCGGATGCGGTTGCTGGAGAGGTCAAGGGTACGCAGCCCAGCAGCCACCCCTTTGAAAGCTGCCCTGTCGATCTTCTCAATGGCAT